GATGAAGTGCGTGTGTTGACGAGAGACACATGAGTGTGTGAGAAAAAGAGACGCCGAAATGAAACACCATATTTACGAACGATGCATATTATGAAAACTGTCTCTGAATTGGGAGAGAGAGAGAGTTGGCGACCCTTCGACTTTTCTCTTCCTCGACACCAACTATTCACTTTTCACCGTCCCTTTCCATCTCTCATTCCTCGTGATTATACTCGTCGCTTTTTTTTATGTGTTGCATAACTAAATGTACAAATATGGACGAGTCGCTCTCTTGCTCTCTCATTCCTTTCTATCCTCTCGTTCTCTCTCTCCGCTACACTATCACACACACAACGCCCGCACCCATCGGCAAATATCAAAAGAAAAAGTAAATGGCATAGCGACAAAGTTGTTCATAATTTAATTTCCCGAACAGCACAAAATTGTTGTCATGTTGCATTTCAATTTTAATTAATGGAACGTGAAAAGCACTGCACTCTTTGGTCGTTTTGTCGATATGGTGTGTGTTGCGTGTGTATTTCGTGTGTATGTTTCGAATCCTTTTTCCATGCGTCAAAAGAGCAGAAGAGCCAAAGAGTAGACGGGTAGAGAGGATGAGAGTTTTTGATTGTTGAGAGCGATGCACTGGTATTTTCTCTCTTGCTCGCGCTCTCTCAATCTCTCACCCGCGCTCGCTCGATCTCTTCACGCTTCATTTTTGTATCGTTGATTTTTCATTAGAAATTAATGCAGTTGAGCATTTTATCGTTCTCCCACACTTTGCCGCGATGCGATCACTATTTATCGATTGCCTATCGATGTACGTGAAAGCGGTGTATACACACAATACATACACCAATGTAATGACAACAAAAACATGTCAATGATCGAACTTTTACGCTGCACATTAAAAACCGTTATGAACATTTATTTCTTACTTTTTTTCTCTTCAAAGATTCACTTTGGAATTGAATCGAAATGGAAATTGTGAAAGCGGTGAAAGAGCTGAAATTCATTGTCATTTGTCGATCGGTGTCAACATTGGGGCTGTTTGCATCCGAACGATAGCAATCGCATTGTGTCTATTGTTCGTTTATAATTTAACTCAATTGTTCCGTACGTATTCGAAATTTAAACGGCGACAAAACGGGATGGGTGGCTGATGGGTGACAATGTTAAACCATTGTGCGTATTCTCATCCAAATGCATCGATTTGCGAATGCAACACCATCTTTATATTCAAAGCCATAAATTCATGTTGCCAATGGCCATTGTGCTCGAGATGCTCATTTTATCTGTGAAAATGGTCGAATTCGATGTTTGCTAAGCATTTGTATTGTGGTTATGCCACTTTTTACTGTTCTTATTCCTCTGTTTCGTTCACATTTCTTATGGTACATACTTTGAAAGCTTTTTTCAATCGGCTTCGTTCCTTTTTCGACAACTTGGTGCGTTTGCACAAACACAAAAGCAACAACAGATTGCATCACATTTGCCACGGATTTTTGCTCGAAAACGAGATGCAATTGATTGCTGGCCGTTTGCGTACGAATTCATTTTTTGTCCGCTTCATTCGCCGAGATGCTTCATTCTTTCGTCGTCTTTTCCATCTTTTCGTGTGTATTCACTCACACTCAATGTCTCTCCTTTTCTTCCCTCTACCCTAGATCTCTCTCTCTCTCTCCATCTACCTCTCATTCTCTCTCTTTCCCTCAGTTCCTGTCTTTTTTTCCCTTCTTATTTTCCTCACTCCGAATTTCTTGGCACCCTTTTGCCCTCCTTCACATCGATTGAACTGTATGACGATAATACAACGAACAAACGGAGCTGGTGTCAACTGTCCAACACGCTGAAATGTGTATATTGCACTTTTCAAGCTCGATTAATGTTATTTTCAACTCTTTACTATTCCATTATGCTCTTTGAGTGCTCGCACAGCGCACACATACACTTTTTTCAGTGCTGTTCACTCTTCGTTGGCCGGTGCAGTGCAATGCACGCCTCGACTTTGCCATACAAAGTTGGTTAATAGCCAAAAGCACCATTTCATAGAAAATGTGTGTTTCTTCCTCTCTTCGTCTACCCTCTCTCTTTCATTTCTATCCAAAGCTTGTTCAACACTCGCAGCGACATAAATTTTGTATGGATGAATAATGTGCGCGGTTTCGATGAGTTTAATTGAGTTTAACATAAAAATGTCGCCAAATATTTTATGCATTTTCTAAGAATTATGCTAAAAATGTTAGCCATTTTTCGTTAATTATGCATAATTTATCGCCGTGAATTAGTTAAATTATATCGTTTTTGCCAACAACTTTGTGACAGCTCGGTCAAAATGGTACGACATAGTGAGTGCTCTATTTTTTCCACTGTTTTTTTTTTACACACTGTCGATGACACACCATTTTCCATGAGTCAATTTTCATTCATTTTTGCTTTGTATTAAAGAAAGAGAGACCAGCTTCAAAACCAAGGGCGAATCACTACTGAAAATTAGAATGAGAAATTTCTCGAATTAGAATTCAGCACTTTTTAGTATCAAAAAGATACTTTCAGTAGATTATTCGTGGTTTTTCAGTAGTTTAAATTTAGTATCATCAGATTCATTATTTCATGATTCGCTTGAGAACTCTCGGATTCATCCCTTGCTTTAAATCAAAGCTTTTGAAAGTCATTTTTCCATGACACGCCGTTGATCAACACAAAATGTCAAATTTCGAGTGATGAATTAAAATTTCAAGCAAAACTAGCGTAAATTTCAGTGTGTAAATCGCTTACGATCACTACGAAAACGAAATTGTAATGCAATTGTGTGGATGTGTTAATTTTATTTATAATCTGAATCAATTCGAAATATTTTGACGACTCATACAATTTCTTCATTGCTCTTGTGTCATAAATGCATATTAGCTTGTGTCTAAATTTACACTCTTCCGGAATGATAGAAAATTATATTGCCAAGTGTTGGGATCGAAAAAAAATTCTCATCATTGCAAAATTGCAACTGGTTTTACATCTCTCGTGATTTTCGACATAAGGAAGAGAGAGAGAGAGAGAGAGAGAGAGAGAGAGAAAGAGAGAGAGAGAGAGATGTTAGAATAATGATATAGTATATGGTGCAGTTATCGTCAAATGCTTTAGAAAGTGTTCGGGGATAAAATGACTTGAAAACCATAATTGAATTCTTGAAATGAACTTGGTTGCGAATTCTTTGAATGTGTTGCATATTTCGAGACAGAGTGATAGAGATAGAGAGAGAGAGATGTGATATTGATGATGCAAACTCAATGGGCTGAAGCACTTTAGTGTGTAAACAAACCGAAAATGAATTCATCACAATTTTTGATTGTTGAACATTCGGAATGAGCGTGAGCGAGCGAGCGAGTGAGAGAAATTGGATGCAAAGAGAGAGTCGTTGTCTGGTGCCAAAATATGTGCTGATTAGTCAAGCCTGACTTTCAGCAGCAGCAACAAGGAAACAATTGTTTCGATCGTTTCTTGTTGATTCTCTTGCTTCAATTGTATTTCATTTGCAGAATTTGTAATTGTAACGTAACAATGTGCCCATTTCTCCTTTCCGCTCTCTTGCGCTCTCTCTCAGAGCAGAGAGCTCTCGATCTCGCCCACCTTCTGTTGCGAATACCGACCATTCGAATGGTGCCATAATATGCATTTACTGTTCGCTCAAATGACTGCACAAATTCCGGCATGTGCTACTGCTCGGGTGCAAGTGAAATGAAATCTTTCGCAATTATTCGAAGGGTGGCGGTCGGGCCCGGGACGAGGTTGTGGTATGGCTTGATTGCGACAGCAACTCACAAAATTACATTCATATTCATGGAAAATGCTACATATTAAATTGCTTAATGATTTGATGTCAAGATTTTTACCGGTTTATGATGTTATGAAAAGCGAAGCATTCAATTCAATCAAAATATAGAGAGTTTGGATTCCGTTTTTTCTTCTCTTTTTCCTTCATTCCTCCGTTAATTATTAAATCTGCAAACCAAATTTTCAGGCTACATACACACAAAATCTCTGACAATTAATGCGGTTACGAATTTCATAGTACTCAATTCCGAAAAATCAGAGGCTGTCGTGCTCTGCGTCTCGTGTTCTTTGTGTTTCTCTCGCATTTTCTCTAGCTTTTACTCGTTTTCTCTTACGTTGGCTTCCTTACGTTCACGCGTGTTCTCCCTTAGAAATGCACTAAGAGGAACAGAGAATGAGACACACAAAAACTAGAGAAAGATAGGAAAAGGGAAAAATGGAAGTAAATGAGTGAAAAAGACCCAAGCCTGGTTAGCTCCACTCTGATATTCCTGGTGTCACTCATTTTGATTAAAGCGATTGGACTTTTATTTACGCAACACACGCACAATGCACGCATTTTCTTCAGCGCGACCAAGCGATGTGTGAATTATTGTCGGTTAGCGAAATTTGCACTGCTAGTTCAGGCAAGCATCCTCTTGGAAATGATTAGATTCGCTTTGGTTTGCTTTGGCTCAATGCCAATAACAATCTGCATGTCGTTTGAACGTGAAATCGCTTCACAATTTTCTTTAATGATGGAGTGCGTTCTTTGGTTTTGGTTTAAATTCCGTTGAATTATAAGGCATTTAATTAGGAGAGGCGCTTCGGAAAATCCAACGTTTTCTACCAAAATTTAAATATTCATCTTTTATTTTTGTTCAAACAAAAATACGCCGAAAGAAGTACATCAGGTCTGGAAGTACACCATTTTGGCATGGAATGAGCGCATTTCAACGGCTTCCGGCTGAAATAATGGGGAATTTTCTTTATTATAATTTTTTCTTCTTTTTTTTCATTCTGAAATTCAAAATCTGAATTAAAAATTAATCCAATGTACGATTTATTCGCGGAATAAGTTTTAAAAAAAAGATCAAATTTAGACCAATTTCTTCAAATTTTGATTCTTTTGTTCGTAGTTCATTTTTTTCCTACTAAATATTTACTATTATAAACTAAATCCATTTTCCTTGTTTTTCAATCATTTTCAGGTGAAAAGCCGTACAAATGTTCGTGGGAAGGTTGTGAATGGAGATTTGCGCGTAGTGATGAGTTGACGCGTCACTATCGAAAACATACCGGTGCTAAACCATTCAAATGTCGCCATTGTGACCGTTGCTTTTCACGCAGTGATCATCTTGCATTGCACGCCAAGCGTCACGTCTAAGCTAGGACCATCGCGATTAATTTGGGCCCGAAAAAATACGCGTATCGAGGAAAAGAAAAGGAAGCGGAAGAATCCGAAGCTGAACACTAACACTGTGTAGAAATTCCAGTAGAAACCAAAATCAAGCGTCAAACACTTGAAAAACATTTAGTAGGAGCTAATTGAAACAAATGAGAAGAAAAGAAGTAAAAAAAAACACTAAAAAAACCCACATAATGGTTAATTTTGCGTTTTTAGTTAGTAGGAATTATCATCTACTAATGTTATGACATTCACACTAGAAAAGAAGATAAAAACATAAGTCGTATGGAAAAAATAAATGACGACACAGATAGCTAGTTAATCATCACGAATCAAATGCGTAAACCGCGTTTGAATGAATAAAACAAAACTACAGAAATCCATAGCAGAAAGTAGTAGTAAAAACACACACACACACACAACACACATTTAAGCATTAAGTAAAGAATGCTCTACTTGTAGCAGTAGTAGTAAGAAGAAAATAGCGCCTCATCACATGTGAGGGTTAATGTTCGACTGGTGTGTCGAATATGAAGAAGAAGAAGAAGAAAAAAACACACTATTCCTAGTTCTTTGTCTCTCTTTATAGCATATATATTAATGATTTTAATTTTTCACTTCATTTCTTTGTCTCCCTTCCTTTTTTTACATATTTGTTTATTACCTTGTAAGTAAGAGAAAAAAAAATAACTGAAAAAAACGGTATAACCAACCAAAAAAATGAATGAGATGAGAAAAAAACAGAAAGAGAAAGAGTTATGAAGCCCCTTTCATACCAAATGAATGGTTCACTAAAATATTTAAAAATGCGCAAACATTTTGTCATATTTTTTTTTCGTTCGTTTCCTTCTGTTCGCGACGAACCAATGCACTTTTTTCGAGGAAATTGTTGGGTCGTTCTTCTTCTTTTCTATATGTAGAATGTCAAATAATAATGTATAGTAAATGTTATGTTTTCTTTAACCTCCCCCCTCCCCCGGCAGCCAATTTTCATGGAAAATTGTTTGTGAAATAAGCTGCGGTGTCTGTATGTCAAGTACTCATACAAATTGATGGTAGAATGAAATGGGCCGATTGATTTATTATAAATGTGTGATGAAATGTAAGAGGAAATGAAAAAAATTGGACCGTAGTAAAAACCATTACTGCGGCAAATGTCGTGTGTGTATGAAAGCTAGATATGAAACAAAGCGAAACAGAGGAAAAAATGTTTTTTTGTGTCGTGTGTGATTTATGTGTTGCAAATACATCCTAGACGCACACGCATACATTTCTATTTTGTTCACAAAACATTTCTTCTGCTCAATTGAGAATTCGATCAATTGGCGATGACGTCAATTTGGTCGATTTCGATCAATGGCACGTGAAAATGCATCAAATTAGCTTAAACACACACACACACACACACACACACACACACTAATTCAACGATAAGTAAACGTAAGCCAAAAATGAAAAAAAAATAGTGAAAGAAATACAAAAATGTGCATAGATTAGATAAAAAAGAAATTTTTTTTTTACAGATTGTCGATGGAAAAAAACATTTCCCCCCTCGCCATGAAATGCAATCCAATGCTTCAGAACATTTTTTTCTTCCTGCACCCAAACCTTCTTCATCACACACACACACACATACACACGCACCATTTTTTTTTCGTTGTCATCGTCGTCAAACGTTTTAGTTTTTTTTTCTTGTATAAAATAAGAACATCTATTGTTTATCTTTAGTTTTCTGTTCGTTTTCGATTTTAAGTAAGCAAATACAATGGTTTAAGTTCATTTTTAATGTAAATGTGCATGTAGTCTCTGGTCTCTATATGATAAGAGCTTCCTTTTTAGTTTGTGTCTTTCATTTTCGTTTCATCTCTATTTTTCACAAACATGTATAGACAGAGTATAATTGTATGTGTAAATCAGTTTTAGACATGTGGCCGTCGTGGTGATGAATAACAATTCAAGCCATGAGCCGCAACACGCGTTCCATTTTACAAGTACAATTTAAGCACACGAGTGGATTTGGATGTCGTCACTCTTCTTTTACATCATAACATCATCTTTTACTGATTGTTCAGAGTAAGCGCGACTTACATAGTCAAACGAACTTCGTCCTAAGCTGAAGGAGATACTTTCTCTTGGACGAAAGTGTGTCCACGTTTGATATTGTACTTGGAACCCATTTATATAGAGTTAAAGAGCTTTTATTCGAGCCAATTTTTATGAGCTTTCATTTAGAGCCAATTTTCAATAAGTTACAAGAGAACATACAACGGCAAACTTTGAATCCGTTTGCCATTTCGTGCTATTCGTTTTTAGTTGATATCAACATGTTTCCTTTTTACATAAATTTTTTTCTCTTCAAACCTTCTCTATTTCCACCTTAATTAATGATCTATTTGTAATGTCCACACACACCCACAAACACACCATTCGTTCGTTGAATTCAACAAATAAGAAAAAAGTTTTTTTTACGTCGATTTGTTTACTTTATGCACAAAATTTGTTTTTAATCGAAATCGAAAATTTTGTTATTCAAATGCAATTCGAGATATTTGACAAGAGTGGACGCCAGTTTAGAGTGCAAGCAGACATGAAGGTTCAAGTTGACACTTTTGGAACACAATTTTGTGTTTTTAAGGTCAAAAGAGACAAAATTTAAAGTTCCAACCGCTTCTTGGGAGAAATTTTCGAATTTTTTTCATGAATTTCCTTTGGATTTTTTGTCCAGAAAATCTTTCAAATTTTCTTCAGAAGTTTTTTTTTTTGATTTTTTTTTTTTTGAACTTTCCAAACGAATTTCGCTGAGATATTCGATCAAATTTCTGAATTTTTCTTCCGTTTTTTTTTCGGAAGAAGTGAACTTCCGTCTATCAAGAACTTCCCAACGTTTTTCCATGCATGAGGAAGCGATGACCAACGATTAACTGTAGAGTGATAGAAAGTGAGTGAAAACATTAAAGTTAATTCCAATGAATAAAACACATCACTGCCACAATAATAATATAATGAATTCGATCACTTCAATGTTGTATTTCATTCATTTTCGCAAATTTTGTCTTTTGTACAATTTTTTTGTCTTTTTGTCAATGAGAGATTTTCACTCCTTTGTGGCTGCCACACTCGTACGATTTGTGCGATCAAATCGTTGATTTCTGACATGGAATGAATGGAGAGAGCCTTTTTAATGGCATTCAATTTGATTTTGGACTTTCAAGTCCACTTGAAATGAAAGCGAAGCATCGTAATTTTACAAAGAGCCAGCCCAATTTTTTGCTCCAAAAATCAATGGCTGAATTCAATTTTTCCAACTGCCCTGTCATAAGTCAAATCATTCCGTGGAAATCGCTTGTCAAAATAGTTATTATTTTCATTCGTCAACTTTAGCGAAAGCAAAAGAAAAAAAAGTGAAGAGCATTTGATTTAGATGTTAGGTAAATTGATATGAGCATTTCTAGTTTAATTCGCAGTCGAGTGGCTGCAACCAGCATGCATTCGAATGTCCACCAAATTTTGTTTATCCTTTGCTGCTCCCTTTTCTTTTTGTTTAGTCCATTGTATGTTGTAGAAATGACATTCTATATCGATTTAAAAGGAAAAAAAATGAAAAATTATAAATGCGCCTTTCTTTTATTTCATTCTTCTGCTAGTTTAATAAATGTTAGATATTAAATTGTACGATCGCTAATGAATTCATTCGTATTTTATGTCAATGAATCATATGAGTTAAATTCTAGTGGATTTTTTTTTGTCTTTCTGTCTGTCTTATTTTTGACTTTACTCAACTCGTGTTGATCCACATTGTTGTGGAACCATGATTGAATAATCCATGTTAGTCGAATGGATTTAGTATACTGGTCGTGTGACATCTTGTGCGTGGGGCTACTTGTGCCACGTGTATACCGGCCACACACTGCACAAAGCCGAAAAATATAGAGCGAATTATTTAGATTAAATTTTTTCTAGCATTTATTGGTTAATTTTTGTTTGTTTATTTAGAAACATGTGTCCTCCCCTCTATAAACAAAATATTTACTGTCATTGTTTTGTCCACAATGTAATCGAGTGTAATTTAATGAAAAAATAAATGCAGAAAAAAAAATGATGTTGGACAAACAATGACAAATGACCCTTCTTTTTTGCTTAAAATTTATTTTGTAAACAAATCGAATGAGAAAAAAAGAAAGAAAAAAATTTATATTGATTTTCTTATAGTTCTATTTTAGATTTTATGAAATAAAAATTTGTATTTTTAAAAATTTGAAACCAATTGACCCGTTTTTCTTTTGTTTTTATTATTTCTACCAGTTTTTTCTTTTCTTTTGATTTTGTCCACCATTTTGGATCGTCCTTTGCTTTTTTTTCCCTCATCGACCACAAATTGTTATGACATTTTTTGTGGTCAGGATTCTTTTTCAGTTTTTCGATTGTCGATTGAAATAAAATTAAAAGGATTGGAACATACGTAAACTTTTTCGGAGATATTATCGCATTTCGAGAAAAAAAAATTAATTTCGAACAATTCTTACTTCGAAAATTGTCGACTTTCGAAAAATGTCTAGTTTGTCCGAAAATATCTTGTTCGAATAAGTTGGAAAATGGAAAACTTTGAAATAGAAGAAGTTAAATGCCCGAATCCTGGAGTAAGAAATAATTCAATTCCGAGAAGAAACCAATTTCAATCGACAATCGTCTTGAGTTTATTTACGATGCTGATTTAGCGCTGATGGTTCAAAGAACTGAAAGAAAATAGCTTTATCCCATTCGTCACATTCATTGGATGCAATGGTTAAAGCCACTAGTATCAACTATCAACATTAAATTAGGTGTTCAATCAACATTAAGTATTTCCATTTGATTAAATTTTTTTTGGCACATCATCACCCTGCAACTTCATATTTTCCACTCAAAAAAAACACAATCCTTTCACATTTCATTTGGTGTACAGAACTGAAAAGTTCGAGTGTATTTCATGTGACGATGCAGTCTCGATAGCAGCTAAGAAAAAGAGAGACAATTATGCGATCGTAGCTGTGTCAGAGCATTGTGTAGGGGATATAAATTTTGACTATATCGCGATGTAGTAGATAAAAAAGGTGAATAAGTGACACATACAAAAAAACAACAACAACAACACAACAAAAAAAACAAGAGAAATGAATCAAGTGAGAAAATAAGAAAACAATTGGCTGTTAATTCAAAACACTTTTTTAGACTATATTTATATGTGTAAATAGGGTAAATTGAGGCGTAATTTTTAGAGCAAAATATGCGAAGCAAAGAAGAAAGAGAAGTAAACAAAACCCACAAAAAAAAAGAATTAAGAGAATAAATGAAGCGAATACATTTTTATATTGTAGACACAAAACTTTATTTTTCTCAAACAAGTGATTAAACTAAATAAAAATCAAGATACACACAACAACAAGGAAAGAAAACCAGAAAAATATTATGGCCAAAAAACAAGCAAATTACTGCGATTCACACTGGATATAAGAAGAGATGAGAGAATATTTGGTTCGCTTCGCATGGCTTTATTTCGCTAATTCGCATCACCGAATATCGCTAGAAAAACGCAAAAAAAAACTACGAGACAAATCCCGTCGCAACAAGGAAAACAAAGCATACCATTTCAATCAAATTTTTCAGCATTTGTAAACCAAAATTTATGTTCAAACAACAAGAAAAACATGATTTCGGAGAATGAAAAAAAAAACATTTTCGATTTTTGACGCAGTTTTCGACAAGTGAACACGAGTTTTGTGGAATTGGGAAGCAATTCCAGTGATTTTTATTCAGTTCGTTCAAAAGAAGCGGAAGAAAGGGAGTCGTTCGACTCTCACTTTTTCTCTTCCATTCTCTGAGAGGTAGAAAACAAAGCGTTAACGAAAAAAAGAGAGAAGAAAATAAATTTAAAACCAAAAACCGAAACTGGAAAGCAACGACTAAAGAATAGAAACATGACAGCAAGTGAAAGAAAAGGAAAACAACCCAAAATGGGACGATAAAACCATAAACCGAAGCAAAAGGAAACATAAATTCGTTGTCGTTTGTGTGATGCAATTCTGTGATCCGCATATATTTTTGATGGCAAGCACATGACACGGCAAAGCATGTCCGCAAGGCGATCGTTGGGCGAAACCTCTCTGCATCCAAAATCATCTGGGATGTGCCCTCCAGCGCCCAAATGTTAAGCGATGCATTTTCATTTATACAAACCAACAACACGTTCGCTATCTTCCACAACAACAACAACATCCATCTGTGTGTTTGGTCCATCGAACGATCTAGCCGAGATGCTTTCCGATTTCATCATTGCCAAATTTATGTATAAACAAGATGAATAACCATGAAAAATTATTTCGGAAATGACAAAAAAAAAAAACTAAATAAACGAATTCTTTATGGAAAGTAATGTGAGTAAAGCTAGGAGCTGTCAAAAGAAAGAGAAAACATAAATTGTAGTAGATTTAACACAAAAACAAGAGGAGAAAACACACACAAATAGAATGAATCGAAGCTATATATACAAACAAACGCATTTAATCCTATTTGAAATAATTATTTTACTCTCCGCGGAAAAACTAACAATGAATCGTAAACACTAGCACGTACTACTGTGAACTACGGAATGTTAAAACAATAATTCGCGCTATGAAAGGCGAAATATTTATGAGCACATTCATTGCAATTTTGTACGGCATCTTCCTTCAACCTCTGTCCCCCCCTCCTACAAACACATATATACACACACACACTCCGCAACAATCGTTTTTTTTTCGACTTACAAATACCCATTTTACACAACAAACTCACTCACATTTGCCATTTTATCGAAGAGATAGAGATATTGAAGAGGAGCAAAGCGAAAGAAATTCAGAGAAAGCATCGAATACATACGGTGCACGGGATGATGAGATTCCTTCGACGGAAGATTCAACGGTCTCGGTTTTAATGAAAATGGAACAGAGCACGAAAATGAACGATTTAATTAAAGTCTAGCAATTACAAAAATCAACAACACCAACAACACGGTAGATTCGATCTCACATAGTCTTCTGTACTTTCCATTTACGTTTTTTTTCAGTCTTTTCATTGCATTCACAGTCGCAATATACGGTCTTCATTTATACTTTCAGCTCATATTTTGGATTCAGGAAAATTATAAGTCATTGGCTTGAATCGAAACATTTCACCTTCGGCGATGTTCATAGAAATCATTGCTTCGGAGTTGAACGTTTTTGAAATCAGGAAAAAGATACATTTTTCCTTCAAAGAAGCTTCATTTTTTGAACTTTTCGTTCGAAAAAGACTTTTTTGGGATGAAATTTTTTCTTGGTTGCATGTTTTTTGGGTTAAAAAATCATATTTTTCCTTCAACACTGAGATTTTTGATCAGAAAGTAATGTTTTTTGTTGAAAAAGTTAAATTTTCGACGTAAAAATTGGCATTTTCTGTTCGAAACACTACACTTCCCGGATCAGAAGGAAGATTTTTTTCATCGGAAAAGGGAAAATTCGACTGAAAATGGCATTTTTCTGCTGAGAACAAATTGTTCTTTATTTTCTTCTACTTTTTTCTGAGGAAAATGTGTTCAAAATACACACTTTGTGTCGAATAATAGCTACAATTTTGATAATTTCCTCTACAAAAACTTCCCTCGACTCCATATGCTATTGAATTACACCAACGAAGTAGTTTGAAATGACTTTTTTCGCCACAGCATTGATTAATTCCCATTTAATTTGTCAAAAAAACGGCCCAATTCAACTTCATTTATTAAACGACTTTGATTTCATTCATACGACACCAGTTCATGTGTTGAAAATGATTTGAATTTCATTCATTATTTCTTAGTAAAAATTTAGCATGATCGCTCACTTCATTCTTGAATAGCAACAATGATACGAAAAGAAAAAAAAACTGACGAAAGAACAACGATGACTATAATACGATCTATGAAGATATACTCAAATATGTGTCAAATTCCTTTTCTACCATTTAAGTAAAAAAAAAAATAAAACGAAGAAAAAAAATCTATCGAAAAGACTGTACTGAAAGAAATTCACCAAAATAAATACACACACACGCACTCAACTCTTTTTCTCTTCATCGACATGTGATCTTCACAAATGAAAAAACTCACACATGCGCGCTCGCGCCTCAAAAACCATTCAATCGTTTTGATTTGATTGGTGTTCTAAGGCTTCTGATTCCATAGTATATTCATCATCCGACTAAAAAACGATTAAACTATTTTGTCTCAATCCAACCGTGGGAAACCGTTTGAATGTTTTCCAAAATGTTTTCCTCATCATCGTTTCACGCACACAAACACTATCATCCTGCATTCCACACAAACAAACCGAAAATCTCTTCTCATTTTTTTTTGTTAACTAAGTGAACCAACGTGAATAAATCAAATTAATGTGATACTCCATTCGGCATGTGGTTAGAAACAAACAAACAAATTAATAAACAGAATATGGAAAAAAACTTATTGAAAAAAGCAAAGAAAAAAAGAATAATTAAATGTGAATTACAATGTAAATGGGTAGTAGCATCACCTCTGTCTGAGCCGGAAATAATTCAGAGAAATGAATAGGGGAGTGGAAAAATCCAACCACAGACACGGAATGAAAAGACGTAACAATAAAATCAGTAATCAATAAGATAGGGAATTTAATGAAGATGAAAATAATGATAACAAATACTACAAATTGTGATAAGCATTTTTGAATTTGCGAATAGCATTCTCAACCACACATTAACACAACCAGAAAAAAAAAATCACTCAACACTCATAACATGTGATGTTGAACACTGCGCTATTTTTTTTAACGTCGAATTGAAGAAATGATTCAACGGAATCGAAAGTTGTAATCGAATGGAAAGCAAGAATAACGTTTGGTGCCATTGAACATTTAATTTGATCGAATTCTGCTGGATTTAGAACAGTCGTTTCCATTTGGAATCATTGCTCCAATGCATTTAACCCCATCTGCAAATTCTGTGTCGATTTAGGTCTATCTTTTCCTCTAAAGAAATTTTGAAATTTCGATAAAGATTGCGCAAAATATTCAAGATTCAAAGGATTTCAAAAAAATAAATATTTGAACAGGTTCAGCTTATCTAACGTTCATCCCATAGTCATTCCAGAATATCTTATATGAATTAGAATGAAAAAATTACTACAATTCGATGGTCAAGACGGAACGTTGACAGCTAAAAAGTAGTCATAGGCATTTGGAGCGCATAAAATGGGTATTA